AACTCTGTTAGTAACTCAGTGACTTTTTGATTGTAGCAGCTAGTAACTGTAACTAGTTACTCATTTTCCATAACGGGCCCAACACCGTTTGAGTCACGATTCACTTATCGTTTGATATCAGTATCATATCGTGATTCCCCTGTGATTCCTGTCCCTACTTTTAAGAGTTGATTTATCCTCTATATACAAAAAAAAGTTGTTGCAGCCATTTATGATGGAAACATCTTTGTTTAAAGGCTTTATATGTGATTTTTTGATCCAGCATGAAACCAAAACAACTCGCGCTGCATTGTTGTGTTAGCATGCTCATGCTAGTGATCTTTATTATGCTCGTATCTTCACACTGCATGTAAATTTACCTGAAATGAGCGTGATCTAGAAACACAGTTAAGCAGTGAGTACAGCATGTTTTTTTTTGTTGGTTTGTTTATAGTTTTTTAAAGATTTATTTTTTGGCTTTTTGTGCCTTTATTGTAGAGATAGGACAGTGGATAGAGTCAGAAATCAGGGAAAGAAGTCATTTAAGGATACCTTTCCGATAGAAAAGGACAGCTGTCATTAAAAGTAACACATGAACACCAAGATTCCTTCAAGTGTTTGTGTTGCCGTGTCGCCGTGTCGGCTTGTCCCCACCCACCCCCCCCCCCCCCCCCAACGCTGTAAACCTAGGGGAAACACTGATGTTATTCTTCTTTTCTCTAGTCCCTCAATTAAACAACTTTTATACGCGAGGGGAGGAGTCAGCCGGTCGTCCTGGCGATGTAAACAAACTGAAGATAGGACTCTGAAAACTCTGAAAACATCGCAGACAGTGGGACTGTCACCCATTGTAGACAGTCATGACTCACAGAGTTATTTTCAGAGGATATACTTGATTTATATTATATTTAAGTGTGAAAAATCACATAGAAAGCCTTTAATTTTAGCCTGTATTTATATTTTTGTCCTCACTCCTCAATAGAGTGGTAGAGAAGAAGCTTGATGTCCTGTGACAAATAAAAACAGAGACATTACATATTGAGAAAAGTTTCACCTTCATCAGATTCATCAGCAGCATCTCTCTCTTGAAGCAGTCTGGTATACAAACACTACTTAATACTAATACAGTCTGAACAACAGTCCTGCTTTAAATGCTTCTCTCAGAAGATACATAATGTTCAGTTGTTCTTTGGACCCAACTCGACTTTAAAGTTATTTTGGAGGCTGATGTTTATGAAGCTGTTAAAATATGTTGCATCATTATGTGAGACATTTCAAATATTTCAAATGAGAGCCAACTAAATAATAAAAAAAAATCTCTGTATGGCTAAACTGAGCCTCCTAACTGTCACAGAGGAGGACGTGTTTCACTGCTGTTGCGTTAGATTGCATTACCTAGCTGTACATGATAAATTGGTAACCATGGTTATTTAGTGAAACAGCCCTTTGATAGGCATCTACTACGTTCAGGTTTCAACACATGAGGAAATAATATTGCAGTTTTGTCTCAGTGGATTCAAAAAACTCTCGCCCTCTTTGACACTTTGCAACCTTGCTTTTTTTTTTTTTCTCACATTTCCATACAAAAATATGTGCATTCTGTTTACTGCGAGTATAAGCATCCTGCACCACCTCAAATAGCTGCTGAATCAGGAAGTGGTCACCTCTAAAGTGTCTCTCTGAGCTCTCTGAGCTCTCTGAGCGGTGTGCGTCGGGCCATCGGTAAGACTGGAAATGTGCTTCAGGCTAAACATCAGTGTGACTGCAGCGTCAGCAGCCTCACTCATCTAAAGGTTTTGGTTTACTTGTAAACACAAAAGGTTGATGGTAGATTCTTTCACAGCTCATCGAGCACAAAATAGCAAAGTCAGGTGATTGCACTTTGGGTTCTTCCAAAGGTGTGCTCGTAGACTTTGCATAATCTGCTTTTAACTAAATGAAACAAGCAATACTACGCACTACGGTTAAATATTTTCTAATGGGTTACATCCCCTGAATCCCCTTCACACTTAAAGCTGCAAACATGATGATCATTATAACTTGAGGGCAAATAAAGTATAACACTTTTAGAAAGCATCTTTTCTCCTTTGACGACCGACTGATTGATTAGCAGATTAATCAAATATATATTTAAAAAGTAAAACTACTAACCTGCTGTAGCAAAGGTGTGTCTGTAATATGATTTAGCCCATGGCATCTCCACAGGAAGTCCTCCTCACATCTGTAATCGTCTTCCTCCTCTTCCTTGTTTTCTGCTCCCTGGTCTTTGACTCCTTGAATCCTCACTTTCCTCCCAACGGTCCAGCATGAGAGTGAGAGAAAGGGATGAGTAGAAGCCGAGAGAGGGAAAGAGAAGGAGATATTTCTGCTGGAGCAGATCAATAGTGGGGTTGGTCTTCAGCAGAGAGATTGTCTGTCTGGACAGATGACTGTAACAAATAAGAACAAATGTCTCCAAGTGATGGATGGAGAAGAGACTGGGTGTGGTTGTGCAATGATGGAAAGAAAAGACAGCTATAGGGAGAAGTCTGTCGGCCTTTCACTCCTGGAGAGGGGTGTGATAAATAAATAATAGTAGATGAATCCATTATGAGAAAGGAAATCAGAGGACAAGGCGGTAAATCTAGCATCAGGTATATGGTAGTCAGCTTCAGGCTGTTTTTTATCTTTGTGTTTTTTACTGGACTATCAGAGGCCTGACTTTTTTTGAGAAAAGGGTTGTTTTTCTATGTTCTGCTTCAGGGTTTTGAAGCCCAAGAAATGATGCTGCATGCAAATATCTGCAAAATGGAAAGAGCAGGATCACAGCCTGTTGTTTTAACTCTACAGTGATCATGCATAGTTACCCCCCCCCACCCCCCCTCTGCTAGACTTGTTATCATGTCATTTAAACAGCATCAATAAGCTCATTAAGCAGCATTAAGTATCTTCAGCTCAAACTTAAAGCCATGAAAAAGTGTACAGCTCCTTTTTAAACCAGGTGAAACTATATCACTGCATTGAAATGAATATTGAACTCTGCAGTGAAAGGCAGTGATTTGTTTTATAGGGATAATGCACGATAATGCACAACACTAGCTTTGATACAGAGCGCCTTAGCAGGAAGCAAAAACAGAAACATTACAAGCGACAGTCAGCAGATCAGATGTACAATGCTCAAGTGAAAAACAGACATGTCAATTTAAAAACTATGACAGTTCTGTGTTTGCAGATGCAACTTTTGCACATAATAAATAATCACATCATGACGTGCAATGTCGAGCATTTTGACTTTAAACATGTCGTACTGACACTTTGAGGTGCTTGATGCAAAACAAAATCTGGTTTGATTTTCTGTATATGTTTTCATACTGAATATATATCACAGAAAGAAAAATGAATTGTAATGTCTTTTTTAGTCTCAATATTGTGCAGCTCTAGTACTGGCTCACCTTAGCCTCATGTAGGGGGGGGGGGGGGGGGCGCTACGTTACTGCACACTTTGTCCAAACGTGTTCACACCTTTATGACGCCTCATAGTCTCCTAAGTCAGACGTCTTTTTGATCGTGATGAGCTCAGATGTAGTGTGTGAAACAGTACATTTTGCTCCTGTTATTTCCATTTCCATCTGTATTAAAAAGGAAATAATTTTCAGAAAAGGTAAAGGGGTAATAATGGATTTGAAGTGTCTAAAAATGTAAATTCTGGTTGGCGTTTTTTGTTCTGGGTTTTGAAAATTTCTAAAAAAATCAGAGAATCGAAAAAGACCAAGTACTTTGAGTTTGCTGTTGAATCTTTCATCACAAGAAGTACACTGATTTACACAAGTGTGACGATCTCTTTAATAGATATAATTAGTCACTGAAATGATTGTTGACGTTTCTGACTCAAACTGAAATTTGGAACCTGACAAGGTTTTCCAACTTTGGTTTTGAGATTGCTTAAACACTGAATGATGGAGCATCCAAATACAGTACAATGTCTGTTATTTTAATAATCGATTGAACAGAAAAGTCCAAAGGTTTGAAACAAAACTACATCTACAGGTGGACAGGAGCAGAATTAATCCATCAAAACTTGCAAGCACACTTTTGTTCATTGAGAACAAGAAATTACCCAATTGTTGGTATCTAGGACTTTATTTTTGTTGCCATGGTATTAATACCTGTTTCAGTATTCCTAGCAGTATCATATCAAAGTTTAAAATTCTTGTGTCAAGACAACCCAGCAACTAATCATGCAGAAGTACCTGCTTTGATGCGACTGATGAGGTTTTGGCAAGAAGTGCAGCATGCTTAAAAATGTCAACCGCTCACAGACAGGCTTAAGAAGATTTCCCTGACTTTACAAATCATCGAGTATACAGACATCACTAAACTTCAACTGCAGCACTTACAGATACTTGTGACATGTTTTAAATCTGAGTCCACTTAATAAGGAATAGAGATGATGTCAGCATGTCTGTTCTTTGACTAAAGGTCCACAGGGACGATTACAAAGCAGAAGTACAGGCATTCAAAAAGTACACGTTCAGGAAGGGCACTGCTGTGAAACTCACAGATTTATTACCTGGTTCTATCTGGCATCTGTTTTGAAGTATTTTGAACAAGCATGCATATATGCCAGAGGGTCTGAGCATGACCTCATAGCATGAGATGAGAGGTATGCACGGAGAAGTGGTAGCAACAGAGAGGCTAAATATAACCAGATGCTTGGATCGAGCTTTGCTGCATTGTTGTTATCTCAGGGAAGGTTTGAGTATTTCTGTTTTCTGTTCCGTCCTAAATACTTTAATGTGCTGTTGCCAAATCTGTGCCAAACTATGGAAACAAGAGTCTAACTACACAGGCTCGTATCCACAGAGATCGTTTATTTCTACGGTGCCATGGAGGTTAGGCATCTCTGTACATAACACAACCTTAATTGTGCCAAGCTCTGAAATGTTTTTCTGAGGTGCCAACCTTATTTATTTATTTTTACATTCCACTGTTCACAGTTCCAAGTTTACCACTAAATCCAAAATAATGAGAAATGTCTTTGCTTTTTTTTTTTTTTTTTTTTTACAGATGCATCTGAACGGGAGGAGGAGAAACATGAAGAACAACCGTCAGAAAACACAGACGTAAAGACCAAACCACAGAAGAGGAAGAATACAGGAACAGAAAAAACAGTCAAGGCAAAGAAGAAGAAAAAGAATGAACAGGTATTATGTTGAGCCCTTCAGATGTAAAAGCTGTCAATCAGAAGGTTTTTTTTATGCTCGACTTGATTAGACAACTGTTCTGAAAGTGTTTTTACTTTTAGTTTAAAGAGATGTCAGCGAATGTATGCAAATGAATTGCCCCAAATCTGCCTGTCATCATGTCCGTTAGAAGTGAAATTGTCAAATCAAGCAGTTTTGGTCTGTAGGGACTTGGGTTGGGAATCAAAGGGTTCAAGTACTGATGCGGACCAAATCTGGAAGTTGGTCTGGTAGCTGGAGAAGTGCCAGTTCACATCATGAGCACTGCTGAAGGTGCCCTTGAGCAAAGCACTCTTTTTTTTTAGGAGTCTACACTCACACTATGAAGCGTTGACTAACTTTGTTTTAAGAAGAGTGAGTCTCCCCTTTAGGGAGGTTTCCTACTATGATTGCAAACTTTACACATTTTGAACTACTGCTATGGATTTAAGTTTGTTAGCTATTGTTGGCCCCCTACTGGCCTGGGGCCCCAAACAGTTTACCTGCATTTTATGTTGACAAGTAGCACCTCTGAGCTGATGGAGACGGCTCATTGTAAATCCTTCATTTTAGTTCTGTTTCCATTCATTTCAAGTCTCTACTTTTGTCATCTGCGGACTTCACCTTCTGATCTGTGAATTTGAAATCATAAAATAGGCCAAAGTAGAAATAAACGATTTATACTGTTGATTAATCCAAACGTTACTTTCTTGGGTTCGTTTTTTTTTGTTCCATAAATGATCGGAAAATGACGATAATGTTGATCTGTGTTTCTCAGCCCACGATGAAATGACCTTAAACATCATATTTTTTTCCACAATATATTAAGTCCACATAGAGGAGGAAAGTAACCAGAAAATAATCCCATATAGAATGCCTGAACCAGAAACATTAACTATTTATCATAAAATAAAAACATTGATTATAAATATTGGGAACGTATCTTCTGATTGATAGTTAAATTAATCTCTTCTGGCAGTTTGTTTCTGGTCGATCTGATGGTGAAGGCATTAAAAAAAAGTAAAGAAATGTAAATGTTCTCTAAGATTTGAGTGTTGTATTTATGAAATAATGAACTCTACTTATAACTCAGTTGCATTCTTCATTCACTCAAACGGTTCATGTGTATTAGATGTTGATGATGAGCCTGATTGGTGTATTTTTTGTTTCTTGTTTTTCACAGAAAGAGTTAATTGTCCCTCAGAAGAAAGAGCCCGAGGATGAAAAGGCACCCAAAGTCAAAAGAAAGCGGAAGGTGAGTGTGGGGACACCTGCTGGTGTAAAAGAGGAACTACAGTCACTGGGCTTTATTTGTAAAAATCTAACTTTTACCTGATTGTGTTTTATTTACCAGAAGAAGACAATTACAGATGTCTTGTCCACTTCGGAGCCAAAGCCAGGCTGCCCCGCAGACCTGCAGAACCTGATCACGCAGTATTTCTCCGACAAACGCTCTGTGATCGAGCAGGAGGAGCTCAAACTGCACGGTGAGTCATCTTTCTACCTCTCTCAGCTTTGTCAATATGTGCTGATCTGTTGATTCACCGAGGTCACCGTCCTGCCCTCCATCATCTTCCAGACTCCTGCTTCCTGTCCAGCAATGACTTGACACACAGCCTGTCCTCGTATCTCAAACAAGGTGAGTGATGCTCTCACTGAAAAATCATTTCAGCCGCTTGCTTTTAAACGAGACTAATCACTTTTTTTCTTTCCTTTCTTTGCCTGTAGTTTGTCCCAAGTGGGCGAAGGTTCAGAAACAGCACACAGAGAAGAGCTCTGTGGTTCTGCTCATCGTTTGCAGCTCTGCTCTGCGAACCATCGAGCTCATCAAGTAGGTGAAACACAGAGGTGGCGTGTGTCGATTTTTCCCACAATACAACTTTGTAGTCCTGTTTATACGAGTGCGTTTTGTCTCTTATCATCTCCAGGCAGCTGACAACCTTCAAGGGCGAAGCCAAGGCACTAAAGCTTTTTGCGAAACACATCAAGGTTAGTAGAGATCCCAGTGCCTTTTTAAAATGCATGAAAACTGTGTACAGTGATGAGTTCAAACAGTTCTTCTTTTGTTTTCTGTTCAGGTGGAGGAGCAGATGAAGCTGCTGCAGAAGGGAGTCACACACATTGGAGTAGGGACCCCTGGAAGGATCAGCGCCTTAGTTGAGAAAGGTCGGTGTGAATGTTCTGATCCTGCAGTTTAAGTGTTTGAGGTCTTTTTTCTTTCAATGTAAACTCTTTGTTTTTTCCTCCAGATGGTTTGAACCTGCAGGCCTTAAGATACGTGGTTCTTGACTGGAACTGGAGGGACCAGAAACTGCGGAGGATGGTGGACATTCCTGAGGTGAGCTACTGCCCCCTGCTGGACATGAAACATAATGAGATTTTATGACATGCAGGATGTTTTATAAAATATTTGACGTCTTTAGGACATTAAAATATCACTTCCACACAAATATGCTTTTCCTACTTATTATTCCTTGACTGTGATGTATGATTTCTACTGTTCAGAATGATTTATGACCTGCAATCATGGTCCAACATGCAGCCTGTGCACAGAAACACAAACAGAGAATAGACTTTCAAGTAAAACAGAAGCCATCTTGTGTCCTTTAGTTTAACATCTAACACGATTAAAGCCAATGTATGTGTTACTTTAGTATTAAATGAGGGAGAGGGTCTAGATGTTGTCTGAAAAATTTGTTTTAATGTGAAATGTTCTTATTGTTTTCTGTACCTGAGATAAAACCATTAAACTTGTTTTGTCAACTGGGAGAGATATTACATTTACTGTCATAGAAGAGTGAAGAAACTACAAAACAACTCCACTTAAGAAGCAGGAATCAAAGTATTTTAACGCTTTTGATAATTAATCAGTTATCAAAGTAACTCATAATCAGACGTTCAAATCTGATGATGATCTGGTGATGGACCGTTTTCGCTGTAGATCAAACAACTTATCAAGACTGTAACTACCAGATTGAATTATGGGTCAAATTGTCAATTATTACAGCATGTGTATTAAAATCTATCGTGATCAGTTCATGGTTATGACTTTGAATATTACAATAAATGTTACACAAAGTTAATATAGTTTAATAGATCCAGAGGTGTCAAGTAACAAAGTACAAATACTTCGCTACCTTACTTAAGTAGAAATTTTCAGTATCTATACTTTACTGAAGTAATTATTTTTCAGCCGACTTTTTACTTCTACTCCTTACTTTTTAAAAATAGCCTCGTTACTCCTATTTCATTTCGGCTTGTTTTTCATTCCGGCTTGTCATCCTTTAAAAAAAACACAAAAAAAAAAAAAATACCTATCCAGATAAATCGTGCCATCCAGTGAATTTGATTGTGGTTGGATGAGAAGTATAAACATATACCATTCCGACACCCTATTGGTTTGTACGCGATCCATCGTACCTGCGCATGACACAAATCACGTCACACTCCAGCAAGGAAATAGCAGACGTATGTAGTCTAGTGCGAAGATGTCCGGGGCAGAGACTCAAGAGAACTCGAGCGAAATGTCCCAAGTTTGTACATTTACATTCCAATAAAAGCTATTGATAACATGCCTCTGAAGTTTGACTTTTTGCACCGTTACGTTCATTTTCAATGGGCATAAATGCGGCTGAAACAGGTGCATCCCAAATTTTTCAACATTAACATTTTAATATAATAGTCATAATGACCTTTAGAAAAATGTTTTTTTGGGGAGGTGGGGTAGTGCACTATAGACCCCTGTGACGCAGCCTAAGCTTTTGTCCTTAATGGCATTTTTAAATTACTTTTATACTTTAAGTAGTTTTGAAACCAGTACTTTTACACTTTGAGTAAAAAGCTTAAGTTGATACTTCAACTACTACAGAAGTCTTTTTAAACCCTAGTATCTACACTTCTACCTGAGTAATGAATGTGAATACTTTTGACACCTCTGAATAGATCACACAAACCAAAAGCAGAGTGTCTTACTTCATTCTGAATTATTGTTCATAATGTCCTTTTCAGATCAAACTGGACTTCATGAAGCTGCTGGAGAACGGGATCCTGAGTGGGTGTAAAAAAGAAAAAGTTAAAATTGGACTGTTTTAACTGACAGTGGGAAGTTTGCCGTGCGCTGATACATACAAACCGATGGTCCTCACAACATGTTGCAACATCCTCTTCCTGTTTGTTTTCCCTCTCTGCATTGTTCTTTTGACTATTTTCTAAACTAGTGTTGAGTGTGTGCTGTTGTTTGTTCGCTCTTGAAGCCGCTGTGATGCGCTGTGATGGATTGAATAAACAGGACTCATAATGAAACCAGCATCCTCTTGTTTGTTTAGTCCGACCTCGGGAAGTCCCTCCTACCGAGAAATGTGAGGTCATGAGTTTACTCGCCCAATAGGAAGTCCCATTTATCAAAACATCCTTTTGATAAAGCGTTTTAAAGCAGCGTGAAGGGGTTTCAAAAACCACAAAATCATCTACTCCTGCGGAAAAGAATACATATTTAAATGTACTTCAGTGTTATTTGAAAGTGAAAATAGTTTTTCTTAGAGGTTAAGAAGAGTAAAATATGGTAACAGAAAGCAGAAGAGGTAGTTAAGTAATGGATTGTGGTTAATAAGTAACAGACAACAACAGCCTGCCCCGCTCTGCAAGGCCTGCTGGGAAAATCTCTTGGCAAGCAGTGTTGTGTGTGTGTGTGTGTGTGTGTGTGTGTGTGTGTGTGTGTACGTGTGGAGGGAGATATCGCTGTAAAAAAAAAAAAAACAGGAAGAGAAGATAGAGCAGCGCGCACTCTGACACCTCTTCAACTCTCCGGCTGTCAAAGTTCTCGGTCTGTCCCCGGCAGAAGGTTCCCTCTCATGGGCAAAGTGAAGGGCAACTCCGGGCCCTTGGCTCAGAGGCCGGATAACTCTGCTTTCAAACAGCAGAGGCTGCCTGCCTGGTCCCCCATGCTAACTGCTAACACTGTGCTGCCGTTCTTCTACTTCATGGCTCTGATATGTATGCTGCTGGGAGTGTGGCTGCTCCTCACAGTGCAGAGCATACAGGAAGTAAAGGTGAGCCTCTTTCTGTGATTCTTCAGTAATTCTTTAAACATATGTGAAATAGATTTAAGTATGCACGTGTGTGTGTGTGTGTGTGTGAGTGAGGGAGACAGAGTGAGGAAGTCACTGAAGGCCCTTGTGTGCAATAAAAAAAGGGAGTGACAAAGTGAGGAAAGATCCAAGGTTATGTTTAGAGCTAGGTAAACAGGAACAGTCTTTCTTTCCACAGTTTATTCTACTCTTTCATAAAGTTTCTCTATTGTGTTCTCAGCTGGACTACACAGAGGCCGGGACGTGTGATGTATGTTTTGAAAAACGTAAAAATGTGAGCAACGCCGGCCAATCCTGCAGCTGCACCGTGGAGTTCTCTATTGAGAAAGCATTCAAGGTAACGATCTCACAACACAGTATGGAGAATCTGATTGATTTCTCGTCTGTGCTGTAAAGCCGACAGTGAGTCAAGGCTGCAGGAGACTGTTTGCATACCTGACAGTGTGTTGACGATGTCTTCTCAGGGAGATGTCTTCTTCTACTACGGCCTCCGCAACTTCCATCAGAACCTGCGCAGGTACATGGACTCAAGAGATGACGGACAGATGGTTGGCAGGAAGAATAAGTTGAAGGTACATCCTCTATTTTCTACTAATTTATCACAACATTTTTTAAATTAGAGACTGAACAAATAAACCTTTTAGTTCATGATTTTACACAAATGTGACAGTCCAAAGATTCACAGAGGAGTGCTTCCTTTAAAGAACAACGTCAAATATAAAATGTGCTGCATTAGTATACCTTAGTTACCTATAGCTGTGATGCTCTGCTAAATTAGCTAAAACAGCACTAAAAGTACCGTATTGACCCGAATATAGGACGATCCTGAATATAAGACGACCCCCCCCCTCCCGCTTTTCAAGACTCATCTTTTGGAAAAATACTTTCTGAGGACCAAATCTTGTTTAAATAATGAAATTCATTTTATTTGAAAAAAGCAAATATGTCCGTAGTTTTTAACTTTATGATCGAACTTTTAAACTTTTAAATGTCGGTAGTTTATTCACCGGTAATTAAATAATAAATAAATAAAAAACATCAAATTGTCACATTTATCATCTACAAATTGTCACATACGGTATGCCATAACAAAAAGACAGAAATGTGCCGTATTACCGCTATGAGTAAAGGTAGTTTAATTTATTGTATTGAAATTATTTTAATCACCCCAAGCACAATCTTTCTGCAAAACAAGCATATTAAATAAGTTTTCCTACTACCATATTAAAAAACAGCTACACAGACAGTGGCATATCTGTGATAGGCCCATATAAGGGCGTAATATTGACTGACTGTTACAGCGGTTGTGGCTCTAGTTTGAACATTTTATTTACATGCTGTAACAAAATGCCACATTTCCTAAACACACTGCTCGCTACTCGAAGTCACACTGGTTTGTTGGTTTGTGATGAGGTCAAAGATTCAGGTCAGTGTGTCACTCTCCAACCACCCAACCACCTGCAGCTGTCATAAAAACGTTGTGGAGAAAAACGTTGTGTACATTCTAGTTGATTATGTTACCACTGCTTTTGAAGCTTTTTTACGTTGTTAAAGAATCCACCTCAGTTTGTCTGTTAACCTCGATGTCTGAACAGAATCCCACCACATACTGTCAACCGTTTGACAAAGACAGTGCAGGACGCCCCATTGCCCCCTGTGGTGCTGTGGCCAACAGTATGTTCAATGGTGAGCACCACTCGTTACATCATCCTTAAGTTCCTCTTGTTATATTTCTTATCACTGGCCTCTTAACTCACATCTGTCCCTCCAGACTCCTTCAGTCTGAAATATCATGGCCCCACTGGTGCTTCAGTTCCCGTTCCGTTGTATAGGAAGGGCATCACCTGGTACACGGACAAAAATGTCAAGTACCGCAACCCGAGGACGGAGAACCTGACGCTGGCTCAAGAGTTTGAAGGTAAAAAAAAAAGGATGAAACCTTGACTGTGTATTCCAACATTTAGTCCTCTTGTGTTTCAGATGTCTTACATCAGATAATCTTTTTTTTTTTAAGGTGTAGCAAAGCCTCCGTACTGGAAGAACCCTGTGTACCAGCTCGATGTACTCGACCCGACCAACAACGGCTTCATCAATGACGACCTGATCGTGTGGATGAGAGAGGCAGCCTTCCCCAACTTCAGGAAGCTTTATGGGATTTTATACAGAGCAGACAAGCCCTTTACTAAGGGTCTACCAGTGGGAAACTACAGTATCAAGATATCCTACAGTATCCTTTCATAGCATTGTTTTTCATCTGATCACAAGCGGCTGAAAAATCATGCCAATGCAGAAGATTTGAAAAACTGCAGTTCCTCAAATTGACTGCTCTAAAGGCAAGTCAGTGCCAAGTAAAGTGGCAACCTCCGGTGTTGAAAAATGAAGCCTATGCTGAAGTGTAAATATCTGTAGTTCCCTGAGTGTCCAAAGCTCACGTCTTTATCAGCACACAGTGTTGTAGGGTGGATTTGTTTTGATATCATCTGTTGTGATTTTATGGCAGTTATGCATAATTAGAGTGAAGACTGATCTGACTGTAGCTGTTTGTCAGGAGGCTTTAGGTCTGCCTCAGCTCCACCTTTTCCTGTTTCTAGGAGGACTGAAAGTTTGGTGTAGACAGCAATTCCAATGTGGCCACTTCCATCATTTTGCTTCAGAAATACACAGAAACCAATGGGTGACATCACAGAGACTACATCCATTTTTCATACAGTCTATGGTAAAACCCTATTAATTATCCAACTTGGCAGCAGGATTGAAGATATTTACTGCCTGGTAATTAAACGGTGTGGACTCTACAGCTCATCTTGCTGTTCATGAAAACTGTACCGGGATTCATTTTTATACACCTCCACTGTTTCAAGTTATGCATAATTTAGGGGCGTGGCCTCTTTGAGCGGCGCTGTTTTAGGTTCCTGGTGTCTTCTGCGGATTTTTCCTGAAAATATTGGACAAACAAGCTTTCTGTGTGATTTATGATACTAAATGAACCTCTAAGGTGTTTGTTCACATCCTGTTTATTGTTTTATTGATGTTAGCACAAACTAGCAGGACGTTTCTGTGCTCACTGTACCTAGCTGGTTAGCTTAGATGTTAGACGTGGAAGCCCTCGCATTGGTGTCAGGATTATTGTTGGCTTCTCTCCTCTGAGATTTAGGCAAGCAGTGATGAGAGGACGTGTTTTATTTTGAATTACCAAAGTATGAGTAGACTCTGATAGAATCTGGTAACTAGCTCTTTTGCTAGTTAATGAATTAGCCGCTTCATAACTAACATGGTGTTGGCCGCATGCTGAACTCAAGGCTTCAAAAAGGCAATAGACAAACAAACGGGTAGCATCAATCTGGATCTGTTGAATATTTATAGTCTATGGGTTACACATGTCCCATTGTGTGTGCGATTGCTGCCTTTGTCTTCTGTTAAAAACTCAAACACGGGCGTATGGACGGAGGCTGTTTTAACTCGTTTCCATTGAGCTCCTCTTTGTGATCGCCTATTTTCGGCCTTGACCTCTACCTCCCCAGACTTCCCCGTGCAGTACTTCCGAGGCAGAAAGGAAGTGATGCTGACCACGCTGACCTGGTTCGGAGGTCAGAACCACTTCCTGCCCATCGCTTACCTCGTAACCAGCAGCCTGAGCTTCCTGTTGGCTGTCGTCCTCACCGTGGTCTGGTGGAAGTTTGGGAAGGACGGGAAGAACATGGAGGAGTGACGGGAAGAACATGGAGGAGTGACGGAAGAACATGGAGGAGTGACGGGTAACAATGTGGTCACGGATGGTGGGAATCTCACGAGCAGCCGTGCCATTCGACCACGTTTCAAAGAGAAAACAATCTGAAATGTCAAGAATGTGATTCTTAATATCAGGGAGGGAGCGATGTGCTGAATCTCAGCACTGCTGTGATTCAGTCGTTAAGATAATTCCAGAACAACATCTGGACTTCGAGTGTGATATTACTTTATACAGCAGTTATACAAGCAGGAAAAAAGTTATAAAAAGTAAAAATTGACAACAGATTATTTTTAACTTCACCAACTCAACACGTTCAACGGCTGTTGTCTAGGAACCCGAAACATTCTTTTCTACTGCTACTCTGCTTGTATCCATGGTTACCACAGAGCAGCGACTTTGTAGTATGAACCTTTACTTGTATGTGTGTCAGAGGAAATTAATTTGATCATGAAAGCAGTGAAATCAGAGTCTGTTGTGTGATTCTGAGGTTTGAGATTTATGATTAAAGACAAAACAATGTCAGCAAAAAGTATCCTGGCTTAGGAGGAGTGATACATACTGTGAAAAGTCCCTGTCCTAGTCCTAGCCTCTTGTCCAATCAGATCGCTTGATCAGAACTAACTGTTGTATAAATGAAAATGAAGTTTAAGGAGAGTGGCATAAAGAAAGAAATGTTCATTTGTTTGTATTTCACATCTAGAAATGTTCTTCCTCAACTAAATACCTTTATGTGATGTCTCTGTGAACGCTGCGTTGTGTTTGAACATGCTTTGAGCCTCGTGTTTTTTTAAATTTCATTTGATGAACCCTCGCATTAATACTTTTATAATTAACATATTTATTTAAAAAAAAATAAAAAAAGGTTTAAGGGAAATTGTATGTTGTAATGTAATCTTTAAAGGTGAATGAAATGTGATTTTGCAGATGTTTTTTAGCTTTTAATTACAGCTTCTGTTTCTTTAATGTTGGTAATTTACTATCAAAAATGATGCTTTTTATATGAACATATGTCATGTCTGATTCTCCTGCTGTAGTAACGGCTCTGTGTGACTATACTGTATGGAACATAAGAATAATGAAGATTTTGTTATTGTTTACATGAATGTGCTCTTGTGTAACCTTATTCACCATCTTACTGAAGCATTAAGAGTATGGACAATTGGCTAACTAGCACCTCACACAAAGTACAGCTTCAGCCAGAAGGAGTATTATTATCAGGCATGAGGTTATGAACTCGTGTGTTTGGGCACGTTTAAACTTGGCGACAGGTGCAGATGAAAACCAACAAATCAGTCAAACTACTTGAGATTTGAATAAAAGCCAAAGTGATGGACAGACTTACCAATAGAATAGATTTCAATCCTGTTAGCAGGGCTATAAAAAAAAAAGCTTACCGGTACCTTCTACGTCTATTGACTGCTGTACTTGAAGTGATTGTGCAGCTCTGTATACTCAGCTACATGAGTCAAAACGAAGTTAACTAACAGACCTCAATGTGTTGTACTGTACTGATCATGGCCTATAATGTTTTTTAAGTATGTTAATAGCATTCTTGTTCACATCATAATTGATAACATCCTGTCTTTTTCTACATGATGTGCATCAACATGCTGTTTCTTGAAAACCTGAAAATAAAATTAACGATTATTTCGATTGTGAAGAAGCATTTTCTTTTAAAAACTCTTTATTTCTCTATTTACAATCAGTGAGAGCCACATCAACACAGTTCCCTCTGTGACCAGGGAGCACCACAACTGGACATAGAAGGCCTTGTTATTGATCCTAATCCAAAGCATGATTGGTGGCACAGCTGTGTGAAGAACACCTTCCCTACAGGTGAGGTTTGCTATGCTGTTGTATTAGAAAGCAGCTCGTTCCTTTTTTTTTTTTTTTCTCCATCTGCACTCCTGCCACAGAGTGTTTGGTCACATTTAGTACCACAGGAGAGGAATGCAGTCTACTGGTGCTACAGACAACGACGACGACTCAATACATCCTACCACAACTAGACGCCGTATCAAAACAAGTCCACACAACAACAAAAAAACACACACACACACACAGGACTGAAAAATCTAAACAACTCACCACACATACATACAGATGTTGATGCACATAGATACGAGGAAGGAACACTCAAATGCATTAGGACAGATCAAACACCCATTTCAACACCAGACAATTACAATAAAAATCTAAGTTCAGGACAAACACACGGGAAACTTTAAATCACCACCTGTAACAGATTCACCTTTTTACCTCTTTTCTCTGTACCATTATGATAGAAACAAACCTAAAAAAAAAAGTATTCTCCTAAATTAAGACTGCTGTCATGATGATTTGGCTAAAGTTGCGCTGTTGGCACGTTCTTGAAAGTTGGTTCTGTAACATCGCAGAACACGGGAAAAAGGCAGCGTTTGGTCTTCAGTATTACAAAAAGTAAATTCACTCTGGAGGAAATTCACTGTCATCAATCCTCCCAATTGGCCTTTTTCAGATTACCAGACATGTCTCTATGTTTTGTAAATAAGGTGTCGACAACAGTGCAAAGCCAGTTATTTGATCTGTAACCAGTGAGGTTAGTGGTGGGCTGTTTTTTCTCCTCATCAGCAGGATGTGAATTAAAAATAAATATCAGTAAATCATCTGAGTGTTCTAACAGGTTGGCAGAAATGGAATTACTAGAACTATACAAATTTCAAGTCATGCTTTAAAAAAAAAAAAAAAAAAAAACGTACCATGGAAAGCTAGTTTCTCTAGAAGGGAGGAATTTTTCGACCTTGAGTTTGGGGTTCTTAATGCGACATGCGGTTCATTCAGTGAAGCAACACTTAAGTTTTATGAATCATCAGGCACATTTCAGCCAAAACCTGGTTCACCTTGTAACAGAATAAAAAAAAATTATGAAATAATGGAAATCACAGTTTTCATAGAATGCAAGAACTACTAAGAATCACAGGACAGCGACAAAGTCTTTTTCAAATAGTAGTCAGCGGTCTCCTTTTTATCCTCCCTCCGTTCATCCACGCACCGGTCCGTCTTGTCTTCGCCTCTCACTCCTGGCACAAACACATTCATCGTTATGGGTTTCAGTGATAGGACTGTAATGGCACTACACGAGCAGATTGTGGCCATGCAGAAACATTTTAGGCAATACAGACATCTCCAGATAGATCTCAAGCTAAGGTAGTGTTCATTCAAGACTGACGCCGTCTTCTGGGGTTCACTCCCCCCTCCTCCTCCTCCTCCTCCTCCGTCTTTAACAACCCTCCATCTCTGTCCTTCGGGGTTGTGTTGGAGGAGAGGGGGCCGATTAAGGCCATGTGCATCCGGACTCTTCAGCTCTGTCCTGTCGGCTTATTCTGAGGTACCTGATAGGTCTGATCCTCAGTGGGCGTGGCCTGTCCAGTGGCGTTCTTGGGCGTGTCATAAGCCGACCTCCCTGAGTGGGCGCCGTCAGTCTGTGTGAGCAGAGAGGCCGCCCCGGCACCCATGAAACCGCACACCGCGGAGGTCTGGTTCAAAGTGGAGCTGCCTGATGGGTGGCAGCCCATATCCACCACGATGGGTGTGGCGTATTCAGATCCTGAAGCGGGCAGGGGTTCTGCGTAGGCGTGGTACACGTCTGGAGAGATGGGGGCGTCGTACAGGTCGGGGTCTGAGTACCCCGGGTCGGGCCCCTCGTCTGGTTTAAAGGTGGACCGTGCACCCAGAGTTGTAACACCGCTGACCAGGGGCTGAGCGTACTCTGATGAGAGAGCGATACAGCATTAATAAGAAAAGACAAATACCAATTTATCAAATATGACATTTCTGAATAAATAATGTCATAATGGACATGTGGGTTCTGGAGAAAATGCCAAAATGTAAATCTACTTTTGAGCACCAAATCTAATCAGCTCATCATTCTCTGGACGTCGACTGGTTTCTAACTTCAAGAACATTTTCTCAAATGAGTCCTCGAGATTTTTCATTCAAGAAAAGCTGACAGACAACTTCCAAACATAAATCCTCCTCTGATGTTGCTCTTGCTGGCGAGGACACTCAAAAAAAAAAAAATTGTGTCCGAAGATACTTTTGGATGACCACACTTGAGTGACCAAGCTTAATGGAATAAAAAAAAATGTAGATCTTAAAAATATATCAATTTGATCGTTTCTCCTCATTTGCATCATAAAGTCAGTGCCGGTAATTGTCCTTTTAAATCAACTGCTGCAACAATAAAAGAGGGGGAGACTAGCTGGTGAAAAGCAATTGTCTTGGTGACAAACACTTGATGTTTTTCACAATTTAAACCCCTGAGGCTGCCTGTCTCAGCAGCTGCAACATTTACACAAACACAATGGAGGCATCTTTTCAGAAACACAACCTGTCTGATCATAGCTAGCACCAAAACAAAGTTCATGTTGATCCATTATTTACCTGCAGGTTCAGCATGTAGTCTGGGTACAGCTCCTCTCCCCGTGAGCCGGCCCACCTCACTGCTGCTGTACCGGACTGAGTCCTCGGCCTCGACCATCTTCGAGGGCAACAGCTGCTTCATGCTTTTCCACCAGTCTGCAGCAGAATCACAGTTCAGTGCCAGAAAAAGTCATCAAAAACACATGCAGGCAGATGAGAATGTGCTGCAGACCGAGTTCATACCTGTGCGATCCCAGTGAGGGAGATCATACGTCCCTTCAGAGCTCTTTTTCCTATGAAGAAAAAAAAGTTAAATCATATTCTACAATTCACTTATCAGACGTTTTTATCCAAAGCAACGTACATCAGAGAGTAAGAACAACACAAGCAAGGATCTAGAAAAAAGGGAACAATGTCAGTAAGAGCAAACGATCAGCTTTGAGTCTGATTGGACACACAGGTGCTGACAGGAAGTGACCAGAGGCAAAGCACAACATTGAGGGCAGTTCTTGAGAGCTCTAATCAGTATAGAAACCATCTTATAAGTCGTCGTTATCAAACAAAAACCATCGTCATTACCATCATCATCATCTATAATATGGAGACCATCATCATTAAGTTAGTAGGTATTCATAAAGAGCTGGGTCTTTAGCTTTTTCTTAAAGGTGCAGAGGGACTCTGCAGATCACATGGAGTTTGGAAGTTCATTCCACCACCGGGGGGCGACAGAGGAGAAGGCAATATAGGGCAACAAATGCTGGGCTATTACTTTTCTTCATAAGACTGAAAGGACACACACCTGTTCCTACAGTGCAGAGCACAAACCACAATCACAATGAGAGCAGTCAGAGCCATGACCAGCACAGGAACCAGTACTGCCGCCAGCGCCACATCTAACAGGAAAAACAAACAAACACTGTATTTAACACCAAATGGAAAACATTTCTGGGGGAATCAAATGTGCTTTTTTTAAACCACATTTACTCACCTTTGCCGGTGTGAGGAGGCATAGTAGTGTTTCTGATGTCTGGGGTGTGTGTGGTTTGGCCAAGGTGGGGTGGATGTTTTGTTCCCCCAGAAGGTGGAGAACGTTGAGGAGGGGAGAACATCCTGGGCAATAGATCCGGCCTCGTCCTCACTGTCCAAATAATTCCATAAAGAAAAGAAAAGCAAAAAGGTTGGATGTAGTCTGAACATGTCTCTGTTTGTATCTTCAAATCGACCACCGTCTCCTACCTGAAGGAAACTGGCAGCCGAGCAGCTCCAACTTGAGCGCGATCCTCTGGTGCCATGTGGTTGGATATATCCTCAGAAAGCGGGCTTCAATTGGAGGAATGAAGTTATTCCTCACCTCGTGCAGGTAGTTGATGTTGCCCTGGAAAATCTACCGTGACATAAAAAAACAAACTGAATTATTTGTGCCAGAGATTTAACAGTAGTAGTAGCTTAGAGGAAAAGAAAGTGAGGCAGACAGATTCTTGTTTCAGACTGTGAACAGATGCACTTTAAGCCGTAAGCTGATTATTTTTTCAAACCTGGCGAGCTAATAACTCGTCTCCTCCACACAATCGGAGGCCGAGAGGATCCCAGCAGAGAGCAGCTCGTAGACAGCCACTAAATCCATACCCATTCATTATTAATACCCCGGTGTCCTGACTCGTCAAACACAGCACTTAACTCAAACCACTGACTTCCCCTCATATCCTGCCATAAACATCTCTTCGGTCAATACCAGTTGCTATGGAAACAGTCCCAAGTATGCGTCTCTGTAGCCTTCTAAAGTGACATTTTTTTTGCCCATCTGCTCTCTGTCTGCTAATCGAAGGGAAGGAGAACATAAAAGCCAATGATGCAACTGTCCGGGTAAGCAGGTTTTATTGATTTTTTTTTTTTTTTTGGGGTTGTGTTACCTTATCTTGTGTAGAATTAGCTTCTCTGTAGATGTGCCACTGCTGGCCGTCGCTACTGTGCTGGACCCGGTATGCCGAGACGTAGTACTGGTATTCTCTCAGAGTCGAGCCCGTGGTGATGATGCCTGGATGAACAGACAGAAGAACGGTCAGTTACACATACAGTATAACAACATCACATTTTCTACAGCCGTGCTAGAAAACTCAGTTATGCTATCCCTGGGGACTGAGCTAAATGCTAATGGCAGCATGCTTAGAAACACTGCTGATGCAGGAGTATTGTATACCAACCACATTATGTATGTTAGCAGGCTAATGCTTAAACACTTGTCCTTGTAGGGCATTCACATGTTTCTCAGGTGGTCCCATTCCCCAAATTCAGGGAAACAAAGGGGCACGCCTAGCAGTTGGGGTTATGCTGCCGGGCTTAAGGGCATCTCAGCAGTACTCAGGAAGTGTACTGGTACCTCTCCAGCAACCAGATCAATTTCCATACTTTGGTCCATATCAGGTTTTGAACTGGTGACCCTCCGCCTCCCACCCCAAGTCCCTACAGACTGAGCTTCTGCCGCCTGTAAACGTGATACAGCTGCACCCCATCCAACGGTCCGTGTAAAAGGAGCTGAAGACAGTTTAGCGTGTGTGTGAATCTGTGAAGCCGTGTACCTGTGATGATCCTCTTCTCCCTCTTGAGATCCACCTGCAGCCACTGCTGGTGGTCACTGTGAGAAGGAGACCACGGCAGCCCGTCCCTCTTCAGACGAGCCCCCGAAGGCGCCCACACGTTGTTCCACTCCCACACAGAGGAGGCGGAAAGCTGAGTGTTCGCAAGGCCACCGGACTCCAAACCCAGAGTCCCGGAGCAGCCTGCAAATCCACAAGATGCCATCACCACCAAAAACAACACAAAACGATTTCAGAAACCAAAGTTTAGGGAGTTTCTATACGTATCCTTTAATCTATTTCAAAGGGTTAACTTCAATTATTGTTTTTACCAGATACCAGTAGTCAAGTCATGTTTTATCTGTGAGCATGTGTAAAAACAAATAAGGTAGTGCACCCCACAGGTGTGTGTTACAAACTAACTAAAAAGAAGGACAGCGCAGTTTTTACACTTAATTCATTAAACAAAAAAAAAATGCTGATGGTACTTTTATACAACTTTCCCCCACATGATTAGAACAAAGAAAAAAACGTACCATTGGTCTTGAAGGTGAAGAGGCTGTTTGACAAAGTTCCTCTGAGGACAGAAAATGAAAGACATGCATGAGGACAGGATTCTAAGGCATGTTTCTTACAGTTTCAGTCATATCAAATCTATTAACACTGCAAAAAGTATTTCTATTATTTGATTTAAACTGTTATTTTAACCAAGTGTTACAGAAGTGGAATTCTATAAACCCAAAAGTAGAAGAAGAAGCGCCGCGGCTCGTACCCAGTGGACGTGACGTTGTTAGCCAGTGTGGCCTCATAGTGAGGGATGCCTTTGCTGCTGACCACGCTGATCCTGCCTCCCACGGCGTTGGACACCACACCTGCATGGACAGCTGCCACGCACAGAGGAGAGGACTGCAGAGTGACAGGGAAAGATGGACGACATGAAGGGGATACTAGGTACAAACTTCTGAATTTCTATTATAACAAAAAGTGCCAGTGACAAAAACAAAAAAATAAGAAACATCTGGCATATTAGACCAATGATGATTCAACTTCAACAATATTCCAATCCCACCCCATCCCTAACATCAATGCAGATCGTTCTTTTACAAAAGCTGAACACGTGATGATGCACAGTTGAGATATTGTCGCACAGACATTTGTCCAGTTTACACAACTAACACACAGTTGAAATAAATAATAAAGAAGAACGGTTGATACGATAGCAAAGCAGAACAGTTTGAAGGTAGGCGAGCGGGAACAGGGAGGCTTATATTACACAGACACCGAAGCTCTTAACCTTCAGACTGTGGCAGATAAAGGCTGATGAGTCAGCATCATGTCACTTCACTGCAGAGAGGATACCGAGGGGGCACTGACAGTAATGATTCAGTGCGGGCAGCATTCCTGTCCAAACCTGCTGCCACATCACTGACAAACAGACAAAACAGGAATCGACTCTGTGCTCTCAGGCTCCTTCAGTGAACAGCTGGTCGAGTGAGGAGGAATTTTATTACTGGAAAAGACCCACACTGGAATTCACAGCTGACGAGATTGTGGGGAAAAGCTCTGGAGAGACCCACAGAGTGACAAGCACATGTATTCACACACAATCACACACAGCATTCAAATCCTGCCACAAGTCATCAACACTTTGCCTTGTGACTCTTAAATTTCCCCCAAAAACACACTTCACCACTTCCTTAAAGAGCGCAACACCAAACCACTAACACAAAAACAGAGAGCTGCCCCAAACCACTGCACCCTGCCTCCAACAGAGGAAACCACACTAACACACACATAATATGAAACACACACACGCTGACATGTAATAGGTGGGATATAAAAAAATATGTATATATATATTTAAAAAATGTAAGAAAGAAAAAGAAAAAAAGGATCATGGATTACAGTGAGAAATGTCTGAAACACATTTTTTTAAAAGAGAAAAAGAGCTGCAGAGCTCGGTGTGGGTGCGGCAGCTGATCCCTGAGTGCTACAGACTGAAATATGTCTCAAAAGTCATCATAATGTTGCAACCAAAGACACACTCACACACACACACACTCGCGCACACAAAGCTTAAAGCCTCCGGAAATTAGAAAAAGTAAAATTGCATAATTCACTTGAGAGTTGAATTAAGAATCAACAAAAAGCTAAGTGAAAAGAAACTTTCAAAAACGTTTCAAAACTGAGTTTACAAAAAAAAGGTAGTTTTGTTGTTTTTCTGAAAACTGTGTGGGCTGGTCAATCAGATTTGATTGACACTCGCTGCCAATTAACATGATAGTTGATTTGATAATCAGTGCTGTGTAGCCTTAAAGGTCACATATTGTGCAAAATACACTTACGTTTTTCTAACATTAATATGTGTCCCATCGCCTGTTTACTGCAGTATGTAACTTTGGCAGCAGGTTTAAGGTCATCTTGCAAGAGGTGCATAAAACTTTACGGCATTAGTTCACACACAAGCCTTCACTTGTAAAAAAAAGAAGCCAGTTAGCCCGTCTCTGTACTGTTTGATAAAACGTCTGAGGCTAAGAAGAAGAGAAAAATAACTGATGAAGAGATAAAGAGAGTGACAGAGCTAAAATCCCTTATTCATAACAGATTTAAAAACTTTGTAATCAGTCATCGTTGTTTCATGTTTAGCAGCTTTACAGAAAGTCCTCTTACCAAAGTTATGTCTCAGGCTTCCATACAAATAAATAAATAAATCCATCTCACATCAAAAAGTTATCTCTCAAGTTTTGATAGAATCAGCTTTCTATCACTTTTTAAAGCTTTATTCTATGTACACAAGACCCTGGATTACCTGTTTAGTGGGCTAATGTGGACTTGGCTTTGAACACATCAATGGATGAGTCAATTGAACGTACACAGTGAGGCATGCGAAAACATACGTCTAAATCACACTGCCTCCCTCTCCAGCTCTGTGTCTCTGCAGAACACACAGCTCAGCACCGCACCGTCCCGCAGCTGGACTGGATTAGAGGCTTATTATTTTCAGCCAAACTATTATCTCACCTCCCTTTCACCCGCTGACCCTGCCCCTCCTCTGTTCCTGTGGGGCACCTCGCTCCCCGAAGCACACCCCTATGCTCCTCCCTGTCCTCGCCTTCAGCCAGCAACACCCCTCCCCCTCCCTCTCCCTCCTCTCTCTCTCTCCTTTAACAGACCCAGAGTTCCTCCGAGCATGAGGTCATCAGCCAGAGACTCGGCACCTTTGACGTCATGCACTGTGTGGGCGCTGTGAGGTCATCAGAACAGGACTCATCATAACAAGAAGGAGTCCATTAAAAAAAAGGAACAGAAAGAATGAAATGTAAAAATGTGCAGACTTCATGAGTGGGAGGAAATAAGAATGATAGTGAAGAGCGTAGGGCTGTCACAATACTTCAAATTGTTTTGCCAGTACGCTTGAATACTTTTTTTGTAGTCGCCAATATGATCCAATACTGTTGTTGCCATAACGATATATATTTGTAACAAATGTTATGTGATACTTTAGTTGTCAAAACAATAATTTGTTGCAAAAAAGGAACAATTTAGTTGCCAATACTGAATATGGGTTTTTTGTTGGAAATGTGATCCAATACTTTCTTTTCAAATGATAAAAGACTTGGTTTTTAAATATGATGCAATACTCTACAAGTCAGATTGTTTTTGGCAATACCATACAGTACTTTGTTGACAAGACGACACAGTATTTGTTGCCCACATGATATACCACTTCTGTTGCAGCAACACTAAAGTGTCCTAGGCACCTAAAATGGGCTAATTTTCATATTTCATGTAAGTATACAAGAACCTGAACACACGGCTAATACTGAAAAGAACTCAGTGAACATGATGATGAACGGCCTAAAGATCAAGATTTTTCTATTTCATACTAACAGATGTCACGTTAACAGAGTACTGTGTATGTGTGAACGCAAACAGCCACATTTTTCACTCAGACTTCACCCACAGTTTCTCCCGCCAGACCCCCCCCGAGTATTTGTTTCCGCAGCAAGTCTGAGTGGGCTGATGTTTAGACCGCAGCGGGATATTCTCCGGAGAGCGCTACGATCTCCGAGCACGTAATTAAACAGCTGCATTACGTCGTCTGTTCATCAGTATGTTGTCCTCCGCTGTTTTGTTGACACACGTAGCATTGATATAAAGGCCAATATTCTCATTATAGCATCATATAGCCTATTCTGGCTGGGCTGTGAGGAGCATGTGTGAACAACCAGCTCAGGAGAATATCCAGAGCAGTCCTCCTGAAATTGTTTAGATATTTAAGTGTATATGTGAAAACAGCTTTATGGTGCTGGAGGATTGAATTATTCATGTATTGATGCTTTGGAGGGAGGCCGTTAAAGCATGACTCAGCTAATGCTGACAGTCAGAGTCCATTGGATACCATGATTCACCTGAAAATGGGATGCCTTCAACTACCGCCACTATGGCTGCCAAATTGCAAAACACCTACTCCCTGTTTTGTGTTTTTCCTTTTTGCATTTTAAACAAACAAAAACAAATTACCAATGTGATGCTCTGATGCTGCAGACACACACATGCCCATGTACACTGCATGGATACTCACCTCTCTGTAACCGTTAGGTATAGTTCCAGAAATCTCCCCTGTAGACGTCAAACAGCCGGCTGGACAGTATTTACTAAAGAAACAAGAGACAGACAACAACACAGTGAGAATCAAACAGCCTGATCGCAGCACACTTATCCACACAATGCAAACACTGTTTACCTGAACTCTGCCTCAGGGAAATCAGTTCCTTTGTCCAAGCAGGTGATTAGATCTGCAGAAGAAAAAAACAAAACAGTGTCAGAACTGGTTCTCTTGAACATCTCCGGCAAAACTCTCACCCTCTTTCTCTAACTGCATTTCAGTTTCTCTCTCAGTAAGGCGAGATAACGAACACCGACCTTTCCAGGTAATTCACAGATCTCATTGTCTGCTCATCCATTATGACTGAAATTGTCCTCGAGCTGAAACTACCAACTGGTTCCACAAGAGTTAAAGTCTTTAATATGTGATTTTTCAACTTAAATATAATAGAAATCAAGTATATCCTCTGAAAATAACTCTGTGAGTCATGACTGTCTACAATGGGTGTAACACCCGAGTCCCACTGTCTGTGACGTTTTCAGAGTCATATCTTCAGTTTGTTTACATCGCCAGGACGGCCGGCTGACTCCTCCCCTCGTGTATAAAAGTTGTTTAATTGAGGGACTAGAGAAAAGAAGAATAACATACTGTACAAACTGCTTAACTGTGTTTCTAGATCACGCTCATTTCAGGTAAATTTACATGCAGTGTGAAGATACCAGCATAATAAAGATCGCTAGCATTAGCATGCTAACACAACAATGCAGCGCGAGTTGTTTTGGTTTCATGCTGGTGCTCAAGGGCGACATCTGCTGGATCAAAAAAATCCCATATAAAGCCTTTAAAAGAGAAAGTTTGAAGAAAACGGTTAACGATGAGATCAATGTGATGGCTCCTTTCTCTGACACTCTCTCTCGTGAAGTCCAGCACATCTGAGGAGGCGGAGCACGTTTGGTGTGTTTTTAGCGGCACATTTCATTTATATCTTGAAAGCTCTTACTGCTGTCCACAGAGTTGTCTCCCCCACGCTTTTATCAGAAAGAAAACCAATCGACAATGACTCAATAAATGAATAAACCGTTTTTTTTTTTCAGTACAATTCTCAGCATGAATAAATATCCTCATGTTTGTGAAAACCAGCCCAAGCTGAGGTTGAAGTCAAGGAACACAATCAATTTCAGGAGTGTTACAATGATTATTTAGACTAAACATTTCCGACTGGATGATGTGGGCTGCTGGGAATTGTACGTAAAACCCTGCAGTGGCGGCGGTCAGTCCAGCTGAGTCTTGACCACATTATCAAAAAAATCCCATTTATCTGGTAAAGCAGCCGATGAGTCAAACTGACAAATACCCCCAGCCACCACAAGTCGCCATGGTGACTGATTTACTTAGCTGTGCAAACTGTCCTCCCACGCTCATCTGCACCGTCGGTTACAAGAAAAACACACATCAGAGCCTTTGGGGAGGGGACGGGGACGGGGGGGATTAGTTAGGTCCACTGACAGCCATGTTTGTCTTCCACTGTGATTCAGCTGTCCTGATAGTAACGCTTACAGACGAGAGTCAAATCTCCCTTCACACAGACTTCACTGTATTTAATCATCTTGTTTGGCTTTATTGATCCGTTTATCTGAAGAGTATTTCACATGAGAGTAGAAAAGCCCTCGCTAACTGGAATAAACTCATTAAGTTTCTAGACAATAGAGCTGCACCAGTCAAAGAGGGATGGATGCCGTCTCCAGCTTACAGACGAGGTGTTCCCCAAAAAGACTTCCAGATATCTATGAAGACACCACCTCGACAGCCAGCAGTTAAATGACGACATGAGACTATACATGTCATGACTGGTCGGATTAGAGAGAGGGTCCAGAGAACACATTAGAGAGGGGGTCCAGAGAACACTACGGAGTCCGACATCGTCTTTGCAAAAGTACACATTGACTCCACATTAACCTCAGTGACTCTGTAAAGTCTTTTTCAGCAACTTTAAATTAGGTCTGATTTTGCCCGCTCTGGCGCCAGGGATACATCTCATTATGCCCGCTGACTTGTTTCTAACTGTGGCATCTCCAATAATCAGAGTTTTAGTCTCAGCGGGGATTCATTTGTAACATGACATGGTTGGTGGGGAACCATGTGCTGCTTCCCTCGGACAGTAACAGCGCTTCTGCCTCCCGGGAGCTACCGGAGGAGAACCTGAGCTATGTTGGCTAGAAACCGCTACAAGGTGCTGGCTAACTACTGTGTCCTGAGTATTTTATTCTCATTCAAAAAACATAAATAAATACGTTTTATTTTCAGTTTTTTAATGAATATTTAACAAACGAATCAAACTTATCGAATCTCCTTATTCTTATGAATAAGAATCTTCACGTCAAAGATCTGGAATTATGAATGAACCAGAAGAACCACATCCCTGTTTAATGTTTTTAATCACTCATATGTATACTGTAGGTTTAACTCAGGAAGTGCCATCGCCAATGTCATTAGTTAAATGACAAAAAAGCTTCATGTTCATATTGTGGATGACATTAGAGCTGACGAGGTTACGAGCTGATTTGTGGTTAAAGAAGGCGACAAGCTTTACAGTTTCCAGTTACAGTCGAAAAACATTTTGATCTCATTCTATTCTTTGTTTTTAAAATTACATTTTGGGCTGTGTGTCTAAAAACCAGAGGACTTGAAAGAGAAAGGTCAGAAACATCTGACAGACAGGAAGTCTGATAATAAAACCACAGAATATGATTACTTTTCACTTCTCTCACTGACTCACACTTCCTCCTGCCACTCAGATTCTGTCCCACTGAAATAACTATGATCACTTCAGAAAGGCTTAATATTAATTATCCACTAATTATCCTCTCATGTTCAACAGCCTCTTTCTAATATATAAAAAAAGTCAGCGACTCTGAGGCGTTGAGTGTTGACAGCAGGAGAGGAGAAATCTCTTTATAAAGCCATAAACCTCAGCTGGTGCCTTCAGTCTGTATTCAGCACTGTCTGATAAAATGACCAATGTCCACAGACACGATGATCCGGCACGCCGCACCGGGAATCTGAGATATGTGACGGATCAGAATCTGGCATTCACAGAAGAGCAGCTCCTTATCTCTTCTGTGTGTTTAAGTACAACCCGCTACAGCGAGCAAACATTCTAAATTCTCCTCTTGCTTTTCTAAAAGCATAGTTACTGCAAAACTGTCGACACCACTTTAAGAGTTACTGTTTTTTCCTATCAATGAACTCAGGACTGAATTTATACATAGCAGCAATGGGACTGGACAGGTGCTGACAAAAGCTAACACCATGCAACACTTTAAAGACTTTCAGAAGGAGGAAAGGTTTGCCAATTTGGAAACAATGCAAACTCCAAAATGCAAAAAAAAAAAAAAGCCCAAATCAAATTCGACAACTCAAATGCTGCACTGCAAAAAAGGCGTCGGAGAGCTGAAACAAATGCATCAAAGGGAAAAGTCAAAATCAGCGTAAATGCTCCAGGCCTGTAGGGGGCACTGACGAAAATTAGATTACATTTGAGTTTGTTTTGAGTGAATATGGAGCGTCTTTCTGCAAAATGTGTTTCTAAGATTTGAGGTTTAGACTTTGCATCATTCATGTTTTCTCAGTTTGTTTCAGCTCACTGCTGCAGGGATTCTTTCTTCATGTTTCAGTTGTTTTATTTGTTAACGACTTTTGTATGCGTTTCTGGATTTTTATCTTTCATGAATTTGCAACCCCAATTCTCCTGGTGGAAATCTTTAAGGCCATCGCAGAGTGTTTGACTTGGTCAGAAGCTGTGGAAATGTTTATGATCTGCTCTGATCCCTGCCATGGCATGAAAAGCAAAACACTTGACAAGACAAGAAAACTCATCAGGTAGAGAAACTGATGAGAGACGCTAAGATCTAGCAGATCTACGAGGGCACAGCTCAAATCCAAAGACTCATCACCGCCCGAGAACACTTCGGAAGACACAAGAAATGAACTCTGCTCACCTGACTTGTCCTCATTGAAATGTACTTTGCTGTAACTTTTGCACACACAGGGTGTCCATTGAAATAGATCTGAGAACGGCATCAACATGGTGAGTGATAAAGGACCTCGTTACCTGCGTGCTCCGTGGTGGAGTAGGACAAGTAGAATCCACGTCCAGTGTGGTGGGTCCCGCTCATGAACTGAACAGTGACCTGGTTGCCGGTGGATTCAATCAGCTCTTTGACCTTCAGACCCAAACCGCAGAACTTCACTGTAGACGCAGGATGAGACACAGACAGAGGAGTTTATGTTAGCTTAAGAGCCTGATAAGTTCTTAATATATAAACACACGTACAACCAGCTGCATTCAATATTTATAAACAAAAAAAAAAAGCTTGCTTAGTTGTTGGTGGAACCTAACTTGGCTACTATAGAGCTTAATGATGACACAGCATAAGCCTTAAACACACCTTTAGCCCTCTCCTAAAAAAGCTAATATTTGGATCAAATATTCCACTAATATTAGCATTTACATGCTAATGTGCTAATGAGCTGCAGCCATTGGTTTGTTTAATTGCCAACAAGGAAGAGGCATTGTTCTGCAATTTGGCAGCCTGATTGGTGGTAGTTAAAGTCTTCATATGTGATTTTTCACACTTAAATATAATATAAATCAAGAATATCCTCTGAAAATAACTCTGTGAGTCATGACTGTCTACAATGGGTGTAACACCCGAGTCCCACTGTCTGTGATGTTTTCAGAGTCCTATCTTCACTTTGTTTACATCGCCTGTACAGCCGGCTGACTCCTCCCCTCGTGTATAAAAGTTGTTTAATTGAGGGACTAGAGAAAAGAAGAATAACATACTGTACTCACTGCTTAACTGTGTTTCTAGATCACGCTCATTTCAGGTAAATTTACATGCAGTGTGAAGATACCAGCTTAATAAAGATCGCTAGCATTAGCATGCTAACACAAGTTGTTTTGGTTTCATGCTGGTGATCGAGAAATCTAAAAATCACATATAAAGCCTTTAAGTCATAAAAAACATGTCTTATTGGTTGTGATTGGCTTTACTTGAATCAGGCTGAATCTGTCTAAAATGTGACAAGAGGTTCTGCATGAGCAAATTAAACATAAGCTTGTAGTTTGTCTAGTTTCCAGGCTAGTGGGAGAAAGCCACCCAAACCAGTTTCCTGTCAGAAATGAAAAGCCAAAAACACACATCTCATGAATACGACTTCCGTCTTCACACAGAGTACAACATCTCCCTGAAATATTGGGTTTCCACCGCCCTCCACTCTGTCCAAGTCAATCCTAACATTGCGTTCGTCCCCCTCACCAATCTCACTCCTCTCAGGTCCGATGCCGTTGTAGAGGCGGAGGTAGTTGACCTGGCAGTCGTTGTCTTCTATGTCCAGCTCGGCAAAGCGAAAGTGGACCCTGCTGCCGCGGGGCACGCTGATCTCCCACTCGCACACCGTGTTGTTGGGGTACGTCCCCGGGTAACCCAGAGAGGACAGAGTCCCACTGCTGGGGCCAAGCACACTGGGACCACAGCCATCACCTGGAGGACGACACAAACACACAGTTACAGGAAAAGAAAGGAGGATGTCAGTAATAAAGCACAGATGAGGTGGAAACAGGAAAGGAATAGATATCGTTCTGCTGAATTTGAGATTTATGAGACAAAGTTCCCCCCAAACAATCGACAAACACACTTTATTAGCTTTTTATTTTTTCTGTCCTTGTACCTTCACATTTATCAACACACCTTTAAGCCCCACTGTCACACTGGGAGGCGTTTCTTTCTGTACAAAGAGCGTGGACACTGAAGTGGATTCATGCCTCAGTCCCACAGTGCATCACATTTGTATTAATCCGCTGCTAAAAATAGTCCCAGACCCAGACATATGAATAACTTACTCCTGTGTCAATAAAAATGAAAAAGCTCATTACACTAACATTCACAGTCTGCCCTGCTGTTAAAAACATACATTAAAAGACTATGGTGTATTAATACGCAGCTAAAAGTAGTCCCTTACAAATGTACTTCCCTTCAGTTTGTTACTTTTGCTAAAAAAAAAAATAAAGGTTTTGAGTATTTACTTTGTTGCCTGAAATAAAAATATTTTGCTGTTTTTGTAAAACAGTTTTATGGATGTAGGTTTAGTGAGACAAGAAATCAGACATTTTAATCGGGACTAATCCAATGATTCTTTCTTTTTAGACTTTCAAACACGAAAAAAATCCATACTTTCATTTTAGTTTCTTGTCCTATTTAAGTGTGAAGTGGTTGGCTATCAGAGCGTCTCATCTGCTGCATCATATCATACGTACGGGAAAACCTGAAGCAACTGCAAAAGCAAATCATGAGCCCTAATCGGACTGCCGTTTCATGACGCAATATGTACGCCCCTGTTGAGTTTCCCTTTCAATATGATTGCCGTGGAGGCGTGACAGGTGATCCCCATCTGTTCTTTGGAGGTAGTGAGAGTGGCGTTAAAGGTGCGAGACAGGATCGGGCCGAGGAGCACAGCGCTGAGTGTGCATGTGGAGCTCCCGCTGTGCCGAGCTCTCTCGAGCATCCACAACGCCTTCAGGCCATTTGAATTCACAGACTGGGACACCAATATAACACTGCCTCAGGATGAATGTCTTTAAGGTGTAATGAAGGCGGAGCTTCATTACTGAAGTGTTGCAGAATTGCTCTGTAAAAAAAAAAAAAAGGGCTACAGGGTTGTTGCTTTAACTCAATATGAGGGCTTTAGCTTCAATAAGACACCAACATTGATTATGGCAAAAACTAGGTTTCTTTGAATGTGCCCTTTAACTTCAATGACATTTATTTTGTAAAGTGATTTATTAAACTTCTGGTTCAAGCTTCTCAAATGGGAGCTTTTCTTTGCTTGTCAAGTGATGAAGAAAAGTTGGTTATTTGGTCTTTTATCCAAACATTTGGTTCTGTTGTGGGGGAAATTAACTTTCACAATCCAGAAGTTTAAAAGGCAAGCAATCTGATTTGGCAGTTCAGCATCACATGTAAAAAATTAAGCAAATCTAAGCAGATCTTTAAAATCCATTTCCCGGTGATGATTACCTGACCTACAAAAGTCCAGGTTTGTTTTTTGAGTCTTCCGAGCTGTCAGAAAGGGAAAGACGTTGCATCAGTTGATGCAGTGTGTGTGCAATGTCTCTGAGATAACACTAAACAGTCACGCTTCATGGTGCTAAGTGGATGTTCTGTGGTTACGTAAGAGCCTCTCTCAGTGGACAGTATCCAGATGAACAGGACAAAAACAAAAAGCAGCTCGACCTAAACTCTGACTCACAGATACTGAACAACTTGCATGGCATTCTGCAAAACTTCAGATTTACCCTCATGCTCAAAACACAGAAACATAAACCTCTTCTGTTGATTCAGAATAAATGAGAAGGTGGAAAATATCAAATTATCTTGGGCTACTTTAGATTTATGACAAACGGTGTCCACGTGTTTACAGTCATACCCCCACTGCCACCCCACCCCCACACCTCGACTACCTGAGGCTGGGGCTGTGTGGACTCCCAACAACCAAGTTTGTTTTCTAATTTAATGACGTAAAGTGAAGCAACACCGACAAAAAAAAAAAAGCAAATGTTTTGTTGTTTGAGTCAAATTAGGTTCACGAAAATGTCGAAACTGGGGCTACCTGGAGCGAAGAACAAGGCCACTTAGCTCCCAAAATGTGTTTAACACCAAACCCCATTGACAAATCTGACATTTTTAAAGATATCTTGCTTTACGTGAGGCGTAAATATGTTACAGTGTGTTACTTTAAACTTCAGTTAAGTTAGTCAAACACAGGTGTTAATTCGGCATGCAACTCTGCTACCATAGAGGAGTTATTCTTTATCAATCTCGGTTTCTCCAGAACCGGTTTGCCTGGTTTTTCTGCACCCAGAAAAAAAACACCATGACGGGCGGCGGCAAGCGGTGCAAACGGAGCGGAACTCCACGTACACACGGCCATGTAAGGTAGGTAGGTAGGTTTTTTAACTTTTTTTTTTGTGGGGGTGGGGGGGGGGACAATAACAACATGTCTCACGCTTAATCTTACTTCTAAACGTCAGTGTTCAGACTTTACAGGCAGCATGGTACAGCATGTCGGAGCGTGTGTTACACTCGGCTCCTCCAGTTGTCACCGCAGCTGTGCACCACCAACCTTTCTGTGCTCCGCAGCCCTCCGTGGTGAGGATGATGAGAATCGACAGGACGAGAACCCCGGCCCCTGTCGGTCCCCTGCCCACCATTACCGCTCTGCCCATAGCAGCCTGCAGTCTGAATGCATAATGCCTCGCTTCTGGATCGGCTTCTACCTGTACCGCAAAGAGAGTTAAACAAAAAAAATACAAATAAAAACGACTCGTAGACTCCTCCAGAAAAAAAGGCGAATCCGCTGCGGGCTTCCTCTTGTGTCCTTTTTTTTTCACAATCCAGTGGTTAGCGACACTCTCACTATGGAGGTAACTCTGCTCCTCACACACATATACACACACACACACACGCATCCAAGCTGTGGAGCTACTTCCTCCACTGAGGCTCCTCCCCCTTGCTCTGGGATCTGGGATACCCGAGTCCCCCAAGTGGTCTGAAGGATCCCTCATTCATCAAAAAAAAACATTAAACTAAAACCTGTTGCTACTACGACGGAGGATTAGGGCCACGTTAAAAAAATAAATAATAATAATTTCGAGATTAAAGTCGTAAATGTACGACTTTAATCTCCTAAATTTACGACTTTAATCTCGAAATAAAAAATTAAAAAATTAAACTTAAACCGATGGAGGATTAGGGCCACGTTAAAAAAATATACTTTTTTAAAATTTCGAGAAATTTCGTAAATTTATGAGATTAAAGTCGTAAATTTAGGAGATTAAAGTCGTAAATTTACAAGAATAAAGTCGTAAATTTACGACTTTAATCTCGAAATTAAAAATAAATAAACTAAAACCTGTTGCTACTTACAACGGAGGATTAGGGCCACGTTAAAAGAATATACTTTTTTTTTTAATTTTGAGATTAAAGTCGTAAATTTAAGAGAATAAAGTCGTAAATGTACAACTTTATTCTCGTAAATTTACGACTTTATTCTCGTAAATTTACGACTTTAATCTTGAAATTAAACGACAGAGGATTAGGGCCACGTTAAAAAAATATATATATATTTCGAGAATAAAGACGTAAATTTACGAGAATAAAGTCAAATTTATGACTTTATTCTTGTAAATTTACGAAAATATACGTAAATTCTCGTAAATTTACGAAAATAAATTCGAAATTTAAAAATAAAAAATGTAACATGGCCCTAATCCTCTATCGTATGTTGCTGACTTGTAGTGATACAAAACATTTTAAAACTTCACTTTTTCAATAAAACAAACATAACAAAGCCTACATACATTTTCTCTCCATAATACGAGGAAAACATGCTATAGCCTATAGGACCATAAATGTAAAAAACTACACATTACACTTTATTGTATTGCATGTTTTTGAAGCAGAAAATGTTTGCTGAAATAGAACAATTTCTGTTGTTGTTTGCATGGGTTGCCTTTGTTTATATATGTTTTTGTTGGTGATATAGGCGTACTCTTATTTACAATATATTCAATGGAAAAAGAAGCGTTGTTGATAACTTTGGACCATAATTTAGTAACATATGATTTTTTTTACCCATGTAATGTAGACATAAATTAACTTAGGGCTGTCTGATGTTTAAACTTCTTAATGATTCAAGAAAAAAACAATATCAATACCTGTTTCGATACCATGGCAACAAAAATACAAGTCCTTGGAATCTAATAATTAAAAAATGCAAGCAAACAACTCCTGCATGCTGTCTAAATTGCACAAATATGGTGGCAACGTTTTTGTGCATTTTAGTCAGTCTCTCTTTCACTTTCTGCAACTTTTGGTTAAAGTAAATTTTAGCTTTTTAACAGAGCAATATATAACTCTGACATCTTGTGTTTAAAATTGGAACTGCAGCCCAAATTCAAAACATTGAAGAGTGCCATCTCCCTCCCCCCCGCCTTTTCCTCCTTAGAGTCGATGCTCACACAGGTTGCCATGTTGCTGACACAGAAGCTTCAGTGTTTAGCCAGCTCTTCTTCGGTCTTGAAACCTTTCTAGGTTCTAACCTCTCTCCAATATTTATCCTAGTTTTACCACGTTTTATGTCGTGGTGCTTTTTAGAAAAATGCAGAGGCTCATCAAGTCGAGTACAATCAAAAATCAGTTATTGCTGAACCAGTTTGCTTGCCCACTTCCATCGCTGCAACACCTGTTGGTGTGCTGTTTGCCTGGCAAACCGAGGGGGCGCCCAAAACAGCAGTTAGGGGGGAGCCTTAAAACCGCCTACCGTCTCTGGTCAAAACAAAAACAAACCATTCTGGACTGGAAATCAAAACTTTGGAGGAGGACAAACTGGCTTCTGCATTGTTGACAGAGAAGCCAGCACTTCAACATATCATGTTTCCTTAATGTCTGATGATAAAGTAAGGACATTTTATGATTCAATTCAGTAGATATCTTACATATTAGACCTTTCAAACACAAAGGTATTAAAATGTATCAACATTTTACACAACCCTAATATAACACATATGTTCATATAACGTCTAAAATATGAGTACAGTGCTTTCCATCTGTAGTGAATCAACCTCACCATTGTGTGATTGGTAACCCACTTATGTCATGACAATGTTTTCCAATATCGAGGCTATTCCGTAAATGATTCAGATCAGTGTGAGCTAATAAACATGATGTCCACCCAACATTATTCCATTTACGTGTGTTCCCTTTAGCCGGTACACCCAAAACTGGAGCATCTTAAGCCAATGGGCTTGTGGAATTTATTAAAGTGAGAATGTTCAGAAAGAAGTTGAAATGACTGATTAAAGACTGTGTGACACATGTGATACGCCCAGGCTTTAGACAGACATTTAAGAATAGCCCAGCAGCACATGACATAGAGGAATATTCACATATTATTGTTCTATATTACACCTCCTCACGGCAAATACTTTGGATGTGATGCAACGTTCAGAGTAACCAATAGTAACATGTAGCAACAAACAGTTTTTAGCCTGCAGCCAGTGAGTAATTTGTCCAATGATTCAGAATTTTTTTATTCTGGATGGATGAGTGTGTGTGTGTGTGTGTGTGTGTGTGTGTGTGTGTGTGTGTGTGTGTGTTTTGCATCTCTTTGTGCAGACTGTAGGCGAGTTTCATCAGGGTGTAGGAGAGTGTAATGTTCAGGGACGCAGCCAGATAGTCACTCATGCTGAAATGTACCATTTCTCCATTCTCTCCCACACACACCCTTCACATTCACAGTGTTTCTGTTTTTATTCCTTCTATGCGTTTCTTTTTTCACACATTTGCACAACCAGAGCTAGATCACATGCACGGACGCAGGTGTATGAAGGTTCTCACCTGAGGGACATTCTTACACATTATATTAAAGGTCCAGTATAGTTACATACTATTGTGTTATATTAGTTTAAATAAAATACAATATCATCTGATACAGTCCTGTGTTTTATGCCTGCTACAAAAAGTTCTGCAGCCATAAATGTGTACTTTTACCTCTGTTGATTATTTGTTATGTTTTGCTCCTGAAATAGGTTTGATGAGATGTCCGTTAATTTGCGGTGGGCGTGGTTTAACCTTGTTTCACCCGTTCAGTTGTGTGGCGGGAGGATAGACAAAGAGTGTGAGTGAGTTTGCATATTTTCTGTTGACTGTCATCGTTATGACTTATCAATGATTATCATCTTTTGGACTTCTGTTCAGAATGTTTCACTCTTTTTTTTAAATAAATCAGCAAACTTATCTGGATCTATTTGATGTATTTTATTCTTTTGATAGGCCTACTCTTTACTGAAATGTTCAATACAACAAACAATACCCCTCACCCCAAGTTACCAGACAGTTTATCTGACAAAACAAACAGAAGTGAAAATAAAAGAAAACTGATGAATAAAAAGAAAACAGCAACAAGAAAAACAAAACAGAATACTTATACATGTATATACTTACATGCTCTTACACTTCTGCACATACTGTATGTACATGAATTAAATATTAATAATATAAAGAGATCACAGACTTAACAATAATGTCAAAAATCATATTGATTCAGTAAAAAATAATAATAATAAAAAGCTTCTAGGCCACCATATGTAGATTAAAGTTTAGGAGTCATCAGCAGCCTCGTCGTGTTGTGTTTCCCACATTTAGGGTTATGAGAAGAGAATTTTCCACTCTGAAAAATACTTCCTGTTAAGAGCATTTTTTAAATTTTATTTTGAAAAGAACAAGTCGCAGGTACAGGACCACGTAGTCTCTGTGCGGCATTCTCCAATCTTAGCCATCACTACAATTTACTTTCTTGACAATGGCTTTCATTTTTTTATTGTTTGGGATCCCACAGAACCCAAATGTTGTATGTGTAAGAAACAAAATCAATCGCTTTTCATTCATCCAAAACTAAAAAAAAATGAACCACATTTTAAAGTAGGGGTCACACAAAGAAGTATGATGCAGTTTTTCTCTTATGGCAATAATAAAAAATTAAAAAAAAACTAGGAAAAGTCTTAGATATCAAAGAGATGTACTTGCATATTACTGTTAAAACAAAGTCCTATTAATCTGAAATGTTCCCTGACCACATGTAAAGTTTATTTTGCACTTTATTCAGCAAATATCCAACCTCACAAAAAAAAAATCAAAAGATTTTGTCCACAGTTCCTCTTCACTGTGCTGTATTTAATCTACTGTGGATTACATCGTTAATGACTCAATTAATGCAACTTGTTATAACAGATATGATCAGAACTCATCATTTCTTTAGACATGAGTCATCCTCTTTACTCTTGTGTCACTAGTACTGGTCACATCTACTCTATTTTGAGATCATATTAATTCATAGTGTTGTCTTGTGTTTGAGAACTCAACAAGAGATTTCATTATTCTGACTAAAGAGTGATGTTAAACTCCCTTTTTACTTTATGCAGACAGTAAGACTCTGCTGCAGTGAGGACCTCTGCTGGAAAGCTGTGTATTTTCTAAGAAAGGTTTTTTTTTCAGGCCACAGACATCTGCCAAACCAGACTGTGCCACTCAGTGGTCAAAAAGTAATATAACAAGATGACTACAACTAGTCAATATCTTTTAATATTGCAGGAGCACTTTAGTTTTAACAACACAGATCTGCAACTCTCTCATTGTCTCACACTTCTTCTTTTATACGCCTTCACTTTTATATGTGAATTCTGTACACAGTCCATGTTGCAGCTGTACTCAGGGCAACTCTTTTTTTGTTTCTTGCAAGTGTCTTTGTCCATGATTTAACAGTTAATTGAGTATCAATAAATCTTTTCTTCATTTCCCATGTTGGAGGATTTGATACAGTCTTTGCAAAGCCCTTGAGGGGGAAAACAGACAGTTAGTGAGTGTTAGTCATTGCATGCCTGGATCATGTCTGTACCTGCTTGAACCAGGTCTACACAACATTTAGCTTAGTAAACCA